GTCTTCTTGCTTCTGGGTGTATATCTTTTTCTTGATAGTCTTCCAAGCTATTCCAGTTCCAGATTATAAAACTGCTGGTGTTTATGGGAATGCACACAGATAAACCGAAAAGAAAAAGGGTGCCTTTCTTGCAACCTATCTCCATGACAACGTGGCCCACTTGAAATGTCCCAGATAGCGATCCAAACTAATTTACTTTCCCAAAACAGTCTTTTGCTCTAACAAGTATATGAATACTATAAGACCTGTTCTTGTTTGCCAGTTGCTTTCCAACATTTCTTTGACCTAGGGAAATTAATTGACTAACTTATACATTTAATTGGAGAAACTGCAAACCTACCAGACTCACTGGTTCCATTCATAAGCAAACAGTCATGCACCTTTGTGGTTTCATACCCCTGACTCTAACCCTGTTAGGTCAACATAGACCATCCTTTCAATGTTAATTATCTTAGGGGTGCTTACCAGTTTCTCAAATCAAATATTTCTCACACTTATCTTATGTTTAAAAATTAAATTCTCAAAACATATGAATTATGTAATTAGGCATTTTCACGGCAGGTGTTAACAGCCACGATTTGAGAGAAAATGTCCTGTCGCCTAGGATCCATCCATGGTGTTATGTGAGATGTGCAAACAGCTGGATGAGTTGAGTGCCGCCGAATGTATGAGTGGTGAGTGCTTCCTGGGAAAACCTGCACAACATGCTTCTCATGGTCACATACTAACTGCATATAAATTGAATAAAACCTCTTGCTATTGTTAAAGGCTGCAGTCTGCAGTGCTGGAGCTTCAGTGGCTGTATGTGTGGAACTGATGGTTCCCTGCCCAAATGGGGAGCCTACAATGAACTCAAATTCTACACACATCTCAACTTGGCTTTTCGACTGCATTCAGAATTGCGTGGGGTCTCCAGCCTTTCCAAAAAGAGGTTTTTTTTTTAAAGACATCCCTGATGCAGCATTATGTGTCTGTCCTAGACATGTTTCCAGTAGATTCTTGAAAGAACCTGGATGTTTAAAAACCTAATGTCACACTGACCTTTAGTATGACTGGCATTGGTGCCCACCCAAACCCATTGAACATAGGTCATTCCATAGCAGTGTGCTTAATCTTTGATTTTACACTGTGCATGCTGGAAGTCTGAGGTAAGAGAAAATGCTGTGGAAACTCAGTAGGTCTGGCAGCATATGTGGAGAGAGAAACAATTAATGTCTTAAGTCCAACATGACTGTTTTGAAGTAGAGTCATATCGAATGGAAAATGTTAACCCTTTTTCCTCTTCACAGTTGCAGTCAAATCTGTTAAATTCTTTGCAGTGGTGTGTCTGACTATTTACTTGTATCGTATCTATTGTAAATATCAGTTAGTTTTGTACAATGATCAATTTCTATTGATGCTTTCTCACAAGAAGGATTTCTTGCTGATAATTGTAGTATCTGTAGCCATGTTTATTTCTAGTGTATTCTTCACTTCCCCAGTCACCTTTCTGAAGTTTTCTTTATTCTTTACAATGGAACCCTCTCCTTACTTTCTGCAAGCTTTGTGAAGTTAATTTTCTACAGGTTTTGTGAAGCAAATTGTCATTCTATTGCACCCATTTACATTTTTTGAGTTCTATTTTCAAATCGACATTTGCTATTGTATTCATCCTACGTCATTTTTAAATCTCACTTGAAGATGCCCTCACTTGTGCTGTCCTGAGATATGAGCAACTATTTGCACATAAGCAAATTGTTTATAACTTATTACATGTCTTTACAGTCAGTCTTCTTAGAAAGTTAAATGGCTGCGTTGAATCTTCAGTCATGTTGACCCTCCCAGAGATTTCCAAATTTGACACACTGTCAGAATCAGTTTTCTTTGTTAAGTTTTGCTAAGAGTTTCCTCCTGTAACTTTGTAAACACACCAAGTCATGAAGTAATCATGAATTATATTTACAAATTTTGAGTCTAAGCCTCTTGGGCACTTCCAATTTATATATGCTTGATTGAAATGCCCCATAAATAGAACTTTCCTGTTTTTACATATCCCCTTTAGTTTTCCTGATGCATTCTGTCCTGGTTCTTATTCTGATCCAGCAGTCTGTAAAAACTTCCAGTCTTACCCTTGCATTAGAAATGTGCAGCCAGATGCTTTCAATTCGTGCACATTGTGTCCAGTACTGGATAGAAGAGCATAAAACATGTGCAGATAGATTTTCCAACTGTTTCCACAAATAATGGCAGTATTATCCAGAAGGAAGCAAATGGACCAGAACTAAAGATGAGAAAATGTTTTTGCAAATAATGCTCAAAAACATTTACATTATGCACAATTTCTGCCTGTATCAGTCCCTTTCCCACAAAAGGGATTACGCACTAACTCCCCACTTCCGGTTGAAATCAAGCTCATTTTCTTTGTGCATAAGCATTGTTAGGCATATTTTAAAAGTTCTTTCATATCAAAATTTACTTACCTTACTAAGAATATGACTTGTGTACACTAGTTAAACTATGAAATGAACCAGTCTTGTTTATAGTTTCACTGAATTTTTAGATCATATTACTCATGGGTGGAGAACTGGGACTCACTAAATATGATTATTTGGTGTTAAACCTGTTTTCAGCTGTATTTGTGCAACTTGTTTCAGCTGTAAAACTGCACTTGATTACTATCCTAAATACTTCAAGGAATGCACCTTTAATGAAAGTAAACAATTGCATTCTAATAATGTGCCAGATTGTGCTTGTACATGGACAATTATACATATATGATTAAAACAAATTTTAATGGAAAGTTGTGGTAACTGGTGCAACATTAAACACTTTGGGTGTAGGTCCCAATTGAATCTGAAGTAGAAGCTGTAACCGGTGACTTCTCCCAGTTGCAGCACCAATAAGTGAGGCAAATGCAATATTTGCAAGTGAGTGTCCCTGCTAGGAAATGCACATCTTAGTACCTTGTTGTGGTCAAGTCCTCTGACTGCCCAACATTTATACATATGGAATGATAGTATGGTTACAGCACAAAGAACGCAACTGAGCCCTGTGTGTTAGTGCCTGGTTCCATTTCCCCAGCTTTACCCTGTAGCCTTTTTAAAAAATATCTTCTCCTAATTATCTAATTCTATTTTGAAGACCTCATTTATTTGCCATCACTATATCGTCAGGCCATGTAGTTCCATTACCCATATGGCTCACTGCATAAAAATGTTTTTGTTCATATCAGCTTTGCTTCTTTGGACAAATGCCTTAAAACAGTGCCCTCTAGTTTTGGATGCTTCTACCAATGGAAGCATCACAATATGAAGATAAAAACCAAAGGAATTGCAGATGCTGTAAATCGGGAACAAAAACAGAAGTTGCTGGAAACGCTCAGCAGGTCTGGCAGCATCTGTGAAAAAAAAAATCAGGGTTAACATTTCAGGTCCAGTGACCCTTCCTCAGAACTGATGGTAGCTAGAAAAATGTTGGTTTATATGTAGGAAATAGGAAGCGGGATGGGGTAGGGAGTAAATGATAGGATAAAGGATAGAGCCCAAAGAGACAGAACAGCAGTGGGATTGACAAAGGAGTTGATAACGATCTGGATAGGAGGGTGAATAGCTGTTAATGGGGACTGTTTGTGACCAACAATAGGTGGTGTGAAATGACAGGCCAAGTGATAACAAGGCCTGGTGTGTGGGGCAGGGGGTAGGACATGGGAGAGTTTAGGCCCTAAAATTATTGAACTCGATATTGAGTCCGGAGGGCTGCAGAGTTCCCAAGTGGAAAATGAGGTGTTGTTCCTCTAGCTTGCGTTGGGCTTCGGTGGAACACTACAGCAAGCCAGAGGTAGGACAAAGGAGCAGTCTCCTCTGTTCTTGCGCCCACCTTGGAACTGTATTTTCTCTTTTATATTGCACCCCCTTGTACTTCCTACTGAAATGAGTTGCTTCAGCCTTTTCTGCATTACATTTCACCCGTAACTTTCACCAGTCTGCCTTCCTCATAAAATTGTTACAGAACAGAAAGAGGCCATTGGACACCTTAAATCTGTTCTCTAAGTGATCATTTTCCCCCCAATACCATTCTGCTGCCTTCCATCACCATCCCCAAAAACCCATTAAATTCTTCCAATTCAGATAAAAAAAATCTCATTCTTGATTTGAATGCTTTGATAAAGCTGCCACCATCACACTCTGAGGTAGCCCATTTCCAGGTCTTAACTATTTGCAGCGTGTTCCTCCAACCGATTGGAAAAGGAAACAATCACCTTAAATCCCTGACCTCTGTATTCGATCACTCTTCCAGTGGGTGCAGTTTTTATCCCTATCTATTCTGTCCCGACCCTTCCTGCTTTGAATACCTCTCCAAAATCTTCTCTCAACGCTCTCTTCACAACTTCTTCCAGGTCGCTGAAGTTCCTCATTCCTTACCTGGAAACATTTTGATCTTCACTCTATCCTCCTCACAGTTCATCATAATGTGGTGTTGGACTGGAGTGGACAAGGTCACACGACAGCAGCTTATAGTCCGACAGGTTTATTTGAAATCCCAAGCTTTTGGAGACTGCTCCTTCGTCAGCGCTCGGAAAGCTTGGGACTTCAAATAAACCTGGTGTCGTGTGACTTCTAGCAAAGTTCATCATAGGTCCAGGTTTTGTGTCATCCGCACATTGCTTCTTGGTGTGAGTTTGATGCGGGCAATATCAGCCGGAAGCGGGGCGGTCTGCTTGCTTCCCTCACGTCTGAGACCTGACACTGGTATCAAATATTCAAAAGGCGTTGTGTGAACATGCTGCTTTAAGGGATACGATGAGCTGTGATTGCTGTACAGCATAAGATTACTGCGGTCAATTGCCCACGGCTCGGCTGGCTCTCCTTTGGGTTTTGAGGGTAACAGGGAGCCAAGCCTCACCCTGAAGCTTTTCCAGGAGCCTCGGGCGAGCGGGAGCGTCGCCCCGGAGGCGCTGCTGAGCAGGGCGCATGCGGGACCGGGTGCCTGCAAACTTCCCGGTCAGTGTGGATGGGCGAGAGGCTGGCATAGGGCGGAAGAGATAGCATAGGAGAGAAAGAGAGAAAGAAAGAAAGGGGGGCTCTGTGCTGCTGTTGCGACTGAGAAACTCCCGAGAGCCGCCAGTGGAGAGATAGGAGTAAAGCGAGGAGGCGCTGTTGGTAGGAACTGCAGCGGCAGCAGGGGGAGGCGGCTCCGACCACCGACAGGGACACTGACTCCAGCATGTACTCCCAGTGCCAACTCCTCCTGCTCCACAAATCCTACTTCCAGCGAGCCGGCAACAGGCTCGCACTGCTACCCCTGTGCCGTCTGTGATTATAACCTGTGATCTTTGCTGGAGGAGATTGCATGGAAGAACATAAAAGCCCCAGGTGACTGGAAATACACCCCCCCTTTTTGTGATTTCTTCTGACAGGCGAGCATCAGGAGCAAGGAGCAGTGACGGGAAAGCGCCTTCTCCCTCCCTCCCCCCAGAAGCTCAGTTGTAATGGTAAATATGAATCGAATGGAGAGCGCATAATCAATCAAGAGTGAAAAGTTTCTGCAGGCTGGTTGCTGCTTTTCTAAGTATTTCTGTGCTTTTTTTGAAGAAAAACGCTCCTGACATTTTAAAGGAATTTTAGCTGCATTTGTTTTGCTAAACCATAAAGGGAGAGAGAAAAGAAACATTGTGGAAATGCGTGCGAGCATCTTGCAGTCTGCCATTGAGGTGGTGTTGTGTTTGAAGGAATGGTGCTAAGTGAAATGCACTAGTCCAGACGCTGTTTCTGCGGAGAAACAGAGCAGCCGGGCAGACACCAGGATTTTGTCTTTCCCTCCGAGCAAGTTTCATTGCAAAAATAAAAATTGCATTTTGGAGTCTTTTATCGGAGTATTTCATCTGTGTGTAAAAAGAGAGGTGGGGGTGGAAGGATGCACCCCAGCGTGTACAGAGCAAAAGTCGAGAAGCAGAAAGGGAGACACAACTCTGTGACTGTGGAAGTGTTTCTGCAGGGAGGCGCTCCCTGGGGATTCAGTCTGAAAGGTGGCCTTGAACATGGGGAGCCGCTGATCATCTCCAAGGTAAGATGTGATTCTCTCTCTCTCAGACACACACACACACACACAGAGGGAAGTAAGCAAAACAGCGCATTCTGCTTTCTTAATGCAGCATTGGCTGTACATAGATCGTGTAGAAACTGTTAATGCATGGTCGTCCTTGATTGGTGTTTTGAACTGTATCGGAGAAAATTGAGTTTTGAAGCGCTAATTTTCGATGCTGGATTAGTTTCAGTTCGATCATGTCACACGACTGTTGCCTTTAACCCTGATTTTTGTTTCTTTTTGGTAAGAAAGTCCCTAACGAATCACATTGTCAGGAGGGAGGTTCGTCCCCTCGCTAGAGCTTTCCCCTTGAATAAAGTGAGATGAAACGTCTGGACTGAAAGAATAAACGAGTTCAAGGGATCCGGTTTCCACAACAACCCGCTCCTTTAATGGCAAACATGCCGGGAGGGAGAGAGTGATGCCACTGGGAGCTGCATCACTTGGAGTGGTTCACATACCAGCACATCGCGGCGATGTATGGACCTCTGCTTTGGGGTCAGTTTACACGTCAGAGGTTGGCATTACAGAACCAGCAGCGCGATTTAAGTAACACAGTTGCTGGATGATAAAGTTTTGCCGACCCGTTTATAGAGATTGTTGAAGACTCAGTAGTATTTGTTCTGCTGTGAAACTCCCTCATTGGTACAGTGAGTGCTGGAGGGAAACATAGCTATGTTTCTCCTGTTGGCCCCGCGTTTCAATGTGGCCTGAAGCAGTGGGCTAGGTGGAGATTGAAGTTTAGATGCAATGATTGGGAGAGTAAGATTGCGATTCTCCCCTGATGATCCTATATTCAGCTGCAGAGAGGCGTAATCAGAGCAGGGCAAACAGGTAACAGGTATTGAGGATGTTTTACAGCTGTAGCAAGAGCTTTTGATTTGATTTATTGTTGTCACGTACCTAAGCAGAGTGAAAAGTTTTGTTTTGCAAGCAAAAACAAGGACATACAGATCATAGGCTGCTTTGACAGAGCCAGGCACACAAGATTAAGGCTGCAGAGGAGGTGCACAAGGCAAGGTCAACATTAGATTGAAATTAGAGAGGTCTATTCAGCACTCTAATAACAACAGGAGAGAAGCTGTTTTTTGAACCTGTTGGTGCCAGTGTTCAAGCTTCTGTATCTTCTGCCTGACAGGAGAGGTTGGAAGAGAGCATTACCAGAGTGGGAGGGGTCTTTGATGATGTTGGCAACCTTACAGCAGCAACAAGAAGGATAAACGGAGTCCATGGATGGGACGTTGGCTTCCATAATGCTTCCTGTATGTGATGGGGTCTATAAGGCAGATGAAAACTTGTGTGACACATGGAGACTCAGTTTTATTTATGTTTGCATTTATTTTGTGCCTTTATATGTGTGTCAAACAAATAAAGGCTATTGTCGCATTGTCACGCCATATTATGATGTGACTAAGACATTTTGCATGTACTGACTAGGTTAACAATTTTTTACTGATTTTTACACTCCTTAAAAAATCAGGACATACCTGCAATAGAAAATGCCCCCTTGCTTCATGAATAGGAGCCAGGGAGAAGAGTCATCTTGATGTTCCATCCTGTGACAATTACTGGCAAGTTGCTTGTTACCAAACCCATCACCACATCCCCAGCGCACCCCCCACCCCCCGCCATGCTCCCCAAAAGGCCATCCCAAATCAATTGCTCAGAAAAGACCTAAAGTACAATAATTCTGATAACAGAGAATTAGAATTAGCTTTATTGTCACATGTACTCACGAGTGCAATGAAAAGTTTACAAGTCACCACTTACTGCGCCATGTTAAGTACAAAGATACCTAAGTACACATACTTAAGTGCAGATTCTTTGGTATGAAATATAAAAATTAAGAAATAAGAAGTCCAGCATAGGAATAAAATAGAAAAATAAAGAAATAAAAAGTATACAATTTACAGTCCTTCCACCCAGTCTGTGCAACTTCAGTTTGTGAACTCCATCTCAATATGAATCATCAGCCCAAGAGGAGTAAGAATAAAAGGAAGTCTTCTTTTAACAGAAGCTCGATAATGAGTCATTCTGATGGTGCTCATGAATAACTGCTCTCAAGAAGTTGAAGTCGGAGTTTGCCTTGTGGAGCCTTTATTCTGTGTTCTGTTTGATACTGTGGTAGTTTTCTTTAATATAGGTTCTGGCAGCACTACTCTTACAAAAACAAAGGCTAATCACTCAGTGCACAAGAAGGTTGTGCTGCCCTTGCACTCCTCTATTGTTTCTCAGTGTGGGTGTTGTGAGCCAATTGCATTGTGGTAGCTTGGTAAGAAGACTTCCTAGAATGAGATGTTCCTGATGTGTGAAGATTCATGTACCCCAGCACTGAAAAGGTAATAAATTCTGAATATTGTGATAGTCTTGTTTAGTAATAATTTCCATCAACTGTTATAAAGTATTGGTAATCTATGAGTGGAACCTTAAAAAAAAGGAACATTACTAAAAGGGGGTTGAACAAGAAAGAGAAGGCTGGTGAAATAATTATGTTAGCAAAAAATATTCAGAATGTTGGGAAGGGTATTGTATCTATCAAAACTGTCAATTGTGTATTGGTGTTCTGTAATATTTGAGGACTTTCAAATTTATGGGAGCTAATGTAAAATATAGAATTTCAAAACCTATTATCAGTCACAGTACTTCAAAACATGTTATTGTAATGCTTGAATCATTTTCCATTTCTTACTTCTACCCTCTGCTGATAATGTAATTTGAACACAATTATCGTTTATAGCTGAAAACACAAAGCAAGTTACCATTTTGATCCATAGTCTAATCGGTTTTGCTGTGGTGACCCAACACCTGGAGTTCTGTGCACAGTTTTGGCTTTTATCTGTAAAGTAGTAGCACACTGAAAATCCACTGTTGATTTCTGAATGAGAAAGTTCTCCGAAGATAAAGACTTGAGTAAGTAAGGCCTATATTATCTAGAGTTTAGAAGGATGAGAGGTAGTCACACTGAAATATATAAGATTCTGATGGAGCTTGATAGGGTAGATACTGACAGTTTATTTCCCCTGGCTGCACAATCTAGATCATGAGGCTACCATCACAGTAGACTATTTAGAACTGTGATGTAGTGAAATTTCCTCATTTAAAGGATTGCAAATCTTTCAACCTCCCTACTTAAGAGAGTTCTGGGTGCCCCAGTCTTTGAATATATTTAAGGCTAATGTTTATGGCAGATTCTTGGGTATTCAGGGAATCAGTGGAGTAGTGAGATAGAATAATAGCAAAGCAAGCTTAATGACCCATGTGGTTAATTCATCATCCTATTTCTTATATAATTGGCTTCATTGCTCTTAGCTTAGAAAGAGAACAATCAGCCAATGATGCACTCTTCTGTTCGCAGATAGCGACCACTGTCATTAACATTTGGTGATGAAAGACATTGTTGGATAGCGATTTTGCCTGTATTTAGATAAACTGATGTGTTTGCTGTTCAGGCTAGCAATGAAGAATAAATACCTTAGTACTTGACGATGCCAGGTGATAATGAGAATGGTTCCATTAAACAGTGAGTGCTGCAAAGGCCAGAGGAAGAGCAAGTTAATGGGAAGAACGTATCAAAGTGCCTTATTGTTTCTTGGGACATTTCATATTCTTGCATCTTTCCCCTTCCTTAGTGTGACAATACTATGGCTTTAAGAGGTGTATTTTGTCCTTTTTTTGAGGAGAGGTTTTGAACCATAGACGCCAAGCTGTCTCTTCCAAGCCAATAAAGTAAACAGCTTGTGAGGCCTTGGGTTTTTTTTTAATTGGAACAATAGAAGCAGCATGAATGAGTGGAGTCGGGCTCCCACAAAACCAGGGTTTTAGTTTAGCTTTCAGTAGTTGTTGGGTTTTGAAGTTGGTTGTGGAAGCTGCCATATCTCCTGTCTACCAAAATTTTCTCTTGGTGTTCTTTTCTTCTTGACTGAAGAAACATCGCATGTGAGACAGTATATGTAACTGAGTTTGTTTTTGCAAAGGGTATATTTATAGGTCGTTACTATATTGGAACAGTTGCCTTTTAGTAGTTAAATAGTCGATTATTCTGTTACGTTTTCCAATAGAGTTATACCAATTCTTCTTTCTTTTATTTCTTTTTTTAACTATAGGGTGAGAATAAAGTATGTTTTGCATAAAACCAAGTAGTGTGACCGAGTTACGTCTGAAAAACAGATCCTTGCACTTGCCTTTTTAAATAAGATAAAAGTTAGGGTCTAGGCTATCTCCATGATATACTTGAAGGGGATTTATTCTGGCCCATAATATTTGTGCAATCTCTCTGATTCACTTGAGCATTTTTGGCATTATAAACTATAAAAGCAAAGTTCAATTAGTTAAGGACATCATTAGAACCTTGGTGTTTAATTTCTTCATTAAGCTAGTTGATTTACTTAAAATAAACCATTGAACAAATATTTGACTTCTTTAACTAGTGTCCCAAATAGTTCAGTGAAAAGATAACAAAAATCGTGACACAGAATCTTGAGGTATATGGTGTTACTTCAGTGGTATTATAATTCCTTTTGGTATTAGGTTAAACAAAACTCTTATGAAATTTTGCTGGGAATGGATTGTAGGAGAAGGAAAAACACAAAGTAATACATTGGACTGTTATACATCTGATATAATTTTTAGCCACAATCTTGGTTAGTGATTTCTTAGGCTACTTTAAGGAATATTTACTGCATTTGCATCTCTTTACAACACAACACTTTTGTCTTCCAAGGACTGTTAAGAAAATGTTTTCCAGTTGCATCTGGAATTTCTCTAAGTAACACTTCAGTTAAGTTTTGAGTTTTTTTTCAAATCAATGTTTGGTAGCACAGATTCAAATTAGTGAATCTGGAATTGTATTTTATTTCATATTTGATTTCTAATACTCTCTGAAGTTTGAAGTTATCTTTTGGAAACAGATTTTTATCATTCTGAGTACATGGAACAGTGCATTACATTTGTGTTTAAAGCCTGGTGTAGAGTGACATGCA